ATAATATATATATATATATATATATATATATATGGCCCCGGTGCCACAGGGTTGTTGATATTTTTGCTGCATGTTCGCTGACTCCTCCCACATTTGCATGCACATTCTGCCGCAGGTGAGCTGTTTATACACAGTGTTTTTGTTGTTGATTATATTTTAGGTGTGATCCCTCTTTAGAGTGTCTAGCTATCGACCCATCTATTAACATCCTCGCTCCAATTATTACTAATCTCCTGGCGCATAGTGTGTATATACATAGACCCAATATTGCTAATTTAACATGATTTTTTTATTTTGTCCTGCTTTATTTTCTGCGTTTTTCCAAAGTTAAGGGGTTGTGTCTTGCAGTGTGCTACTCGAGCCTTCAACATGTGTGGGGTCATTGTCGTGCCGTGCTACATTTTGTCCTTCATTTCACCTGCCATACCCTTTACGATAGTGCATTTCCTTTTACTCCAGGCCTCCCGCTATAAGTGTCTCCCTTCTAGGGGCTATTATTAGTAGACATAATGACTACTTTCCCTAACCCGGTGCCTGTATTTATTTATGCACGGCTAACATAGTGGGCATTCCTATAGTGTGGTATCATACAACTGCGCGAGCGTCTGTGTGACCCTGTGCTAAGCTATTAACTGTGTAAATAACATAATAACTCAAAACGGGTGAAGCTCTCTAGCACCCATCCCTCCCGAGAGTGCGTCGGGAAGGCCTCGGGCATTCCGGAACTCCGTAGAGACCCACAACGCCTCTGCCATCCAGACTTCCAATTGAAAATGTCCGTGTTGTGCCTCGGTCCTCGGTGACTTCTCCGCTTCTCCCTTTGAAGTTGTGCTACTTTGAGCCTGGATACTGGTCTGGCGGACTGGGGGGTGGCAAGATCCAATCCATGTGTAGCACAGTCCCCCTTGCTGCTCATCCGTGCGACGTACCCCCACTGTATTTCCAGAGTCCGGAGAGGCCAGTACTGTATATTCCCTGTATATTTGCTTTACCCTGCAAAACTATAAAGTCAATCGATGCCTTCGCCCCTACCCTCTCGTGGGCCTGGTACCGCTGTTGTGGCGGAAGTAGGATGGCCGTGGTCTGTTCCGTCAGCATACCTCCTCTTGGACGTACGCCTGCTCTGCTGGGGTTCTCTGGTGCAGTCCCTTAGTGAGGCCCACCTTTTTCGTTTATGCATATGACAGAGCTACCGTTAGCTTACTCCATGTCTAATTCGCATGGGTCCGCAACTTATCTTACTGAAGATACAATTCCACTCTTTGAGCGGTCGACGCAACAGGACTTAGCACACAACACAGGCGCAGGCCCCTTCAAGAATTCTCCCGTGGAACCGTCTCGCCCACCCCACGTTGTCGGTCTCATGACGACCCGATCATTGTGCATCCGCTCGCCAGTGACCTCGATAAGCATACAATCTTCTGAAGGGCGGCGCGCCTTCAGTTGTAAACGATCAACTTTTTCCTAACTAACAAAACTTTTAAAGGACTTCGTATAAAAAAGCGCCTCACATTGGCTCTCAACAAAACTGCGGTAGTGCCCACACTGCGCAACACTCCGCACCTATCAGGTTCTCGTGTCTCACCAGCCTCTCGCCACCATGGAGTCAGTACACCCTCATCAATCGGGTAAGCGGGCTCTTCCGCTCCCTCTGCGTCCCTTTTGCAGACCTCGTGTTCCGACTGCTGCGTCCCTTCCTCTTCGTCCCTAGTGGTATCTACATCAGCGTGCCCGCCTGTCTTCTGTGGGGCCTCCTCAGGGCTTGAATCCCCTTCCTTTGCGGACATGCTCCCACTTATCATTTTTTCTACTTGCCGAGTCGCTGACATCTATTCCCTAGCTGACTCTACCTCAGGCTGCGTTCCTGCCGTCTGCGAGGGGGCCTCATAATCAGCAGCCTCTTCGTGTGCTGATCCGCTCTCACGCTTCAGCCTCTTTCCCCATCCAGGGGAGACTGGAATGCATTAGATCATGCAGTTATTGCGCATGTAACCTCTGTTCACTCATGATCATAACTTATGTCGGCTCCCTCAACCCTCGTACTCTCTACTAACGGACTCTCCCCTGCGTTACCTTCTCCACTATCCGCTTCGCTTGACGCAGCTCATGCCGTCTGTGCTGACTTCTGTTTTGCCTGTCCTCTGCAGGTACTGTCTTTATGTTAAACTTGTTTGGTTGACTCGAGTTGGTTCACGATGGGTAGACATCCTTGCCTTTGTGAAGTTTGTTACACCAAACACCACACGACTTTGTAAAGGCATCTCTACTTCCGCTCCGTGTACACTTTCAATAGGTTCCTGGGTTCTTGCATGCTAATTAATTAGGTAAAGAAAGGCAAGGAATGAGAAGAGTACTTCCCGTGACGGCCCCCAAATGTAGTGAACAGCTGAGCTTCCCTGTTACTACGTATGTCTCCTCAGTATGCCTAACTAGGTGCACACTCCACAACTGTAATCTATTCTCCATTCACAATTAACAGACGTTCCATTTAATAAAATATTAATTTCCAAAACATATTTGAGTCCATATTATTACGGAAAAACCCAGAATAATAGAACTGACTGACTCCCCCCCGCAGAGGGTCAGAGCAAGGACCGCTGCGTCAGCCTCACGGTCAGCCCTGGGCCTCGTGTAGGCGGACGAGCACTCCTAACTTATTTGACATATTTTCTATCCAAAGTGTTCCAACATAAGCATACTTATATTTTAATTGTTCCCTTTCGTGGAACTAGACATCTAAGGTTAGCACATGAACCCTATTGTAGTGCGCGTGCACTGCGCCCCTTCTCGTCTCGCCGAAGCCCCAGCCAATTTCCACCCCGGCTGATACAATTTGTATATTTAAGTTGAAATACATATAAATCTTTCGGAAGACAACAACACTGCCACTTTCCAGGCGCCTTCTAGGCAGTGCTGATCACCCCCCCCCTCTCCCGCGCGCCTCCAGCTGGCACGGGGGCTGCTGCGTTCTCGTTACATATATTCTAGGCGTATGGGTAATACGACCACCGCTCGGCTCCTTTGTCGCTCAACAGTAAAGAGCACTAGACACCGTATCACCAGCAGCAACAGCTACCGCGGGAGCAACCACGGTGGCAACAACCGCTCCAGGAGCAGCCGCAGAAAGAAGTAACGACTGGATCTGGCTGTTTTTGAATAGCCTTGTGCCAGGGCGGCAAGGGCACTGCTTGTCCGTTTGCTGCAGTGTGTAAGCAGCCAGAAGCAGTCCTTAGCCGCTTGTTCACCTCCCTTGGGTGTTGGCGTTTTGGGCATAGGCATTCAGGGCTTGGGGCTTGTGGTTTACAGCTGAGCACGATGGACGTTCACGAGCACGAGGCAGCAACAGGCTGCCGTTTTTCGTGGAACATTTGGCCACCGACGCGTGCTGAGGCACAGCAAATTGAACTGCCTTTGGGGTGCATGTACACCCCGCTAAGAGATTGTACACATCTGCAGCTGGTCGAGTATGAACCCGTCAGGTGCAGGGCCAGTGGATGCGTCCTAAACCCGTTCTGTGCAGTTGATTTCAGGTAACGCTTGATGCAGTAGATACTGCCTCTGCGGGTTGTGTAACCCGTGCTTGTGATGCTGCTGATTGTACTCTTCTGCTGTCGCTTGTCCCACTGATTCTGCGGCCCCTTGCTATGTTGTTACTTATCCCGCCCTTCTCTTCTAGCTGTTACTTTCTGTTGCCTGTGCTTCTTTTGTGTCTTACTCCGGTTTGTTCTGCTGGTTACCGCGTTGCCACTGATGCTTGTGAGCTGGGGTGTTACAATTTCTAGTTGGTGATGCAGTTGTTTTTCCTGTTGCTGCTGCATCCCGTTCGGTGCTCCTGCTGTTGCATCTGTAGAAACAAGAGCTGGACGTGCCCCTTCTCACTCCAGAGGAATTCTTTCCCTAGTCATTACGCCGCCCATATATCGGAGCAGGTTCGTCTTGTGTTGCCATTGAGCTGTTTGCCTATGCTAAAGCTGTTTCCTTTGTGTATTGCTCGTATTGCTGTGGTTTTAATTTCTTCAAATGGTCGCGCTCCTTATGCCTTGACTATCTTCAATATTGTTATCTGCGCATCCATATTAGTCTTCCGTGGATCTCTATGCTTCCATTGTGCCGGCCTGTTGCATAGTCTTTTGTGGGCGCTGTGCACAGTCATAGGTTGCTTCCATGTTTGACTCATATTGGCTGTTACACTTGGACATATTAGTGTGTCGTGTATGCTGTATTCTGATCTTTTTCACGGAGGTCTGGAATTCACCTTCAAGCCGAATTGGTCCATGTACTCCTTTGGCTCATTTGCCATCTTCGTCTGTTTGACTTCTTCCGTGTATTTCTTCCACGTGCATTCGTTGGCGCTGCATTGCACTTTCGTAGGATTTGAAATGAGCCGGAAAATGGAGATTTGTTGTGTTGCATTTTGCAGAACTTACCTGCGGAACTTTTGTACCCAACAATAGAATATATATTGCCACCAAGTTTGTCTCTACCCAGCAGCGCAGCAGCAGCAGCAGCAACAGCAACAGCAGCAGGTACACAGCTTCTGCCGCCACCCCTTTTTGTGTTAGTGCTTGACACCTGTATTATAGAAGAAGAAGTCGAACAACTCAAGGATTCCTTGCTACAGGTTTGTTGCTGCCGTTGCCGCCGCACGTCATAAGGAGGTGCTACTGTTCTTGCTGCTGTTGTGCTGTTGCTCGCATGTGGGTATTCGTATCTGCATATACATGTTTTTGGCTCTTAATTGGCGTATATATATTCGACCAATTGCACATTTGAAGGTCTACTGAGTTTGTCCTGTGCCGTTTGGTGAGCTCTGTAGTCATTTTGTTGAATTTGGAAATATTGTTGCTTTGCATGCATTTGCTTAGCCATCCTTACACCGATGGTGGTCGTTACCACTGCATGCGTTGTTTACTGTTTATGGGATAATTGCTGCGTTACATGCATTTGCTTAGCCGTTCTTGCATCGATTGTGGTCGTTCGTTACTACTGCGTTGTTCTACAGATTGTCTTTTGTGCGTGGTTTGCACTGTATGTACTTTATGGCTTACCGCATGGCGTACAGTAAACCGTATCGGCGGCAGCTGCCATTGCTGCAGCAGTAGCACATGTTAGTGCTGCAGCGACAGCAACTGTTCCTGCTGCAGCAGGCGCGATATTCCTTATTTCTGTAATGTCCGCTGTTTCTCGTTATTTGCACTTTTGAAAGACTAGCTGGAGTGTTCCATCATACTTCTTTTATCATTGAATAGTCTTACCGTTTATCATGTTGCTTTGTTACTGGTGTGCGATGGTGTGCTTGCAGGCGTTGGCTTTGATGCCTTCAGACGCAATGATTTGTTTGATTTCTTTTGGTGCTATGTGCATGCTCCATGAAATTGCGGATCCTAGCGAGTACAACAAAGTGCATGTTTTCCACGGATCAAGGGAACTCTCTTCAGCTAGCGTATGTCGGATGCTTCTGTTGCTGGCTGCTGCGACTGCTGCCCTGATGCTTGTAACTTTTCATACCGCTGCCGCAGTTCCTGTTAGAGTGCTGCCCCTTTAACTGGCACTGTGATATTTTGCCGCTGCTGCTGTTGTTGCCGCTGCAGTAGTTTACTGCTGCTGCTTCTGGCCCTGCAGCTGCAGCGACCACGCTGTGGTATACAAGTTCGCGGCTAGACAAACTACTTAAAGAGCCGATGGAATCCAGCCAAATGACGTTTAACACACTGAAGTTATCAGCTGCTTCCAGTTGTAATATAATTTGTTTTTTCGTGTGTGGATGGTTTCCCCTCCGGATCGGTGTGCATTCGCCCGTTTGGTTAGCTACAGAGTGGCTCACAATTCGGTTTCCCGTCAAAAGTTTATTTCTCGGGATTATGTCTTAATGTTGTTGCCACTTTATGGTGTTTTTGCTCTGCTGCTGTATGCTACTGTGCAGATTCAGCAGCAGCTGGGCCTTTCGCCAGGCTCTTCTTTTGCTGCTCCGCGCTCTGGGGGGACGACGACGCGTCATCCGCTGGTACCAGCAGCAGCAGCGCGATTTATTCAGCCTGTAGGAGAATGTGAAGCGAAGGTTTCCTTTATTCTCGAGAATCTTTCCAAGGACTATTGGCCGGTTCCTGCAGACTCTCGGTACGTTTCGAATAGTAAAGTTATAGAAGGGTTCAGATTATTAGGACGGCGCCTGCAATATTTTTTTGTTGCAGCTGGATTTGAAGCGTCCAATCATCCGCAGCACGGATTTGCACAGTTAGTTGTGCCGAGGGATTCATTTGGTTTAGCAGCGTGCTTTGGTTGTTCTGCTTGATTTTGACATTAGATCGGTTTTGTTGGGTGTGAATTGGTGGTCGTTTGTTTGTTCGGTGCCAGAGGTGCTTCTGGGTAGTGCACCTGCTTTTACGTCGTTTGTGTCTCTTTGCAAACAGGCCAAAGCGGTGCACGGGCTTGGCGTTGTCCGTTGCGGTTGCGTTGGTGGAAAGTTGTTGGCTTCAGCTACCGTGCCGCATCCTCTTGTTCACTGGGGGAGTGTGTACAACGGGGCCTGGACAGGTATCCTTGGCTTGGAATAGCGCTGTTCGCAGCACCCTTTATCCCGTTACATTGCTTGCTGCCTACCGATCTTGATCGTGTGTTTCGTCTTTGGTTTGCTTCTTCGTTTTTCTGCCTAGGCGTTTGCGTGGTGGTTGTGTTGTTTGTTGGCTCATGTAATGCGTGTGTGTGTTTCAGTGTTTGTTTGTCATATTTGCCGCCACAAGGATAGCCAAGCTGGGGGTTGTTGCTGTGTTGTAATTTTCCCACAGCGTGTTTAATTTGTGTTTTCATTTTGCTTGTTCTCGTTGGCTGCCTCCAGACTTCTCTGGTGTCGTCATCGGTTTGTGCTTTTTTGTTCTCTCCTTTGCTTCCTGCTAGTATGTGCTTTGGAGCTTTTCAGCAAACAGTGCGGATGAAATTCGCCCGCTTGCGTTATCATTAGCCTACTGCCTGTGTTGATGAGTGATTTTCATTGGTCTTCCGGTGTGTGTCCCGTTCGTACGTATGCGTGCTAGTTTGGCTCTTGCTGGCGTTCTTGGTGAGTTGTTCTTGGTGTGTTGTTGTATTCAGGTGCATTTGTTTATCTCTTGAGTCTGCTTCTGTGTAACACCAGTCCCATTTGTTTATTTGCTCATTTCGTGGCCAGTCTTTTCTTTTGTAGGGTTCTTCCTGCTTTAGGTGTCTGTATGAATGTCGTGTCTAATTTTGTTGCGGGGCGAAGACAGTAGTTTTCGAGCCTGAGTAGCGTGCGAGATTTCTGAAAGACGAGCCAGTTTGGCTGTTTTTGCAGATCGTGGACCTACCCTTGGCAGAGTCCATCCGTCACCACTTGGACTTGCAGAAGGATAACCAAAATGCACGCTTTGTGCAGAAGGCACTCAAGTTCTACACATCTCTAGCGAACAGAGCTGTTCGGGCCGGCTGCGCTGTCGATATCTTTGCTTGTTCACTGGACCAGGTGAGGGTGTCACTCGAGCTTTTTGCCACTTTTCAGGCGTATCTCTTGGGCCGCCATGTCTGTCCTCATGCTCTTCCCTGTTTGCATTGGCGTTGGGTGCAGTAGGCAAGGGCAGGCTGCTCAGTGTTCTTCTCCGCACATCCTGTCTGCACGCTTCTGCATGCATTGATCTGTTTTCCTACCCCTTGACCAATGGACGCCGCGGAAGCGAACAGTACCCCACTAATTTTTCGTGTGTCTGGAGGCAGTCGTTCTTGCGTTGAGTGCTGGAGAAGAGGTGACTTGTTTGTTTGTTCTCTAGTCCCGAGTAGATGAGCGAATAGGTAGTCCAGTGGATGAACGAGTCCATTTTCATGTGTCGGTTTGCTGAAGAGATGGGCGTGTCACAGCACCATTTGATTATTCGCTTATTTGTTCGTTTGTGGTTGCCATTGGCTGCGAGTAGGTGGGTCTGTACGAGATGAAAGTAATGCCGGAAAAATCCGGAGGTTGCGTCGTTATGAGTGATTCATTCTCTCTCAACGTTTATAAAGACAGCCTCAAAAAGTTTTTGGAGACCGATTCCACGGGTAAGCTGACAATTAGTTATCCTTCGTGGTCATGGGCAGCTTGTAAATCCCGAGGGATTGTGCTTTTTTCTGCTTGATTTCCGTGCTTCCAATACTGCTGACTTCATGTGGTTCACACCATCAAATTACTGGTCTTTTTAGTGCTGCTCTACCTTCTTTCCATTCTGGCATCGCTGGCCGTCCGCATGTGTTGCAATTCCCTGTTATCAGATTCCACTTTGCCCGCCGTCAGCATCAGGTCTTAGATTTTATGGGTTGGGCTTTATGATTTGCGGTCTGCTTTTAGGGTTCTTGAAGATGGGCTTCAACGCAAAGATGGAAGTTTTGTGCAGCAAAGAGTTCAAAGTCTGTGGCGCTATCGGCCCTTGCACAAGTAGGCTATGCCATTTACTGGTGTTCAATCATTTAACATTTTCTCCTCTGTAGTTCCTGAATTACTCTGTAGACTTGTTCTTTGTTTGACCTGGCTTCACTGAATCTATGTCCGTCTTTTTGCCCTTCATGCTGTTGGAGGATCTCCATCGTCTCGGCGAATTTCCCACGGCTGTGTTCGTCTGCTGAAAAAATGGGCATAGCATTAGACCTCGCCTTTTTTTCCTTGTCAGTGCTTGTGTTGAACCTGCTGAGATATCGTTTCGGATCGTAAAATTCTTGAATTTGTTGTTGGCGCATTCTGATTGCTCATATGCGATTCACTATTATCTCCCCTCCCTCTAATTTGTTATATTGCGTTGTACGCCTAAATTGCATTTGTTCATATAGCGCGTGAGCTAGTTCACCCGCGTCAGCTGAATGTGTAGTGTCTTTCATGTGCTTCAACTTTCTCGATTTGTACATTCACTTCCCAGTAATTTGTTTGGTCGCTCGTTTGCAGGCACGGGAAAGAAGGGGGCCCAAGTTTCGGACTTGACCGTCGGTGAAGGCGCATCTTGTGAATGGCAGGCGGCAGCAATGGACAAGGAAACAACAATTGCATTTTACTTCGAAGTCACAAACCAACATGTTTCAAATTTGCCCCCAGGTGATTCGTGCAATAGTTTAGCAAATCTTGTATCTGAGCATGCATCAATGCAGCCCATAGTTATTGGTGCATGGTCAGCCTGCTTGTGAGTTCATTCATTGTTGCTGCCTGTTCTTCAGTCTTTTTTCGAATTCTCTTGGCAGTAGCCTCTTTGACTTTCAGATGGCCTACAAGCTAGGTTGTCACCCATACCTTCTATTGTCTGCTTCCCTAGTGCTACCCCTTCATTCATCAAAGATTAGTGACGTTTGATATGTGGCTGTTTGTTTTTCCTGTCACTTTTTATGCAGGAAAACAATCTTTCCTGCAATTTCAAACATCATACCTACATCCTAGCGGCAGACGCCGGCTGCGAGTTACGACGCTCTCCTACAGATTTGCAGATCAAAGCCCGCTGGACATAGCTCCAGGTTTGTTATTTTTCTTCAAACTAGACGCAGAACGAGCCACGTTTTAGTTTGGGAGCAGTTCTGGGGCCTCGTGTGTTGATTCCAGCTGTGTGCCTACTTGATTCACTCTGTAGATAGTTGGGTTCCTATGAGTGATTGAATTGGATATTAGTTCATCCCTTGTTTGACTCTATTTGGTTAAATTAATCGCAATTACGAATAGAGAGTATAGGAGTGTTTGATAAGTCTTGAACGTGCAAATAATTAGCCATATAAGGTCATAAGCTAGTGGACGGTGGTCTTGACGGAACCGCTCGATTTTAACAATTTTTACTAGATTGAATGCCTTATATGGGCATTACAGGGTAGCACAGCTAGGGCAGAATTGTGTATGAAGCAAGTATTAACCAGGAAAAATCGTGGGGGTAATGTATAGGCCAGATGCGTTTGAATGACGAATGTACACTTAACGTGTGGCGAGGATATCTCTCTCCCTGTCGGCTATCAGCTATGGTAATTCTTAAGAATGTATTTGGCTTTAGTGTCTGCCGTCTATATATTTTTCAGTTTCCGCTGGGTGTTGTTTTGTTTGCAACCGGCCGGATAAAAGTGCATTCAGTGCAAAAACTACCTGGACTCAGTCTACGTGCTTTCAGCAGTTTGAGGAATATCTTTTCTGCTGCAGTGTGCTTGGCTCCCAGGATTTGACCAGGAAGCGGCAGCAGTGCTCATGGCGCGTCTTGCAGTATTCAAAACGGAGACAGAAGATTCTCTCGATGTCCTGAGATGGCTAGACAGGAAGCTTATTCGACTGGTTTCGCGTTTTGCAGGTAAGGCGCGTTTCGGCAATTTTATTGGTGGCGTTTGTTGCTTTGCACCGTCTTGCTATGCTTCATTTATTTCGCTGTTCTGTGAAGAGGCAGTTCGGAAGAGGTTGTGAGTGTGATTGTTTTCTTTGAGTGTACTTTATTCGCTTCGCCTGTTCTGTTCCTCTATGCTGCATTCGCTGTACTTCTCGTCTACTTTCTGTCTTTCCTCGTGAGGTACGCCTTCTCCGGAGTCTCGTTCCCTTTTGTCTTACTGAAGCCTTCCGTGACTCGTCTGGCTTTTATGAGGCTGTTTACTTCTTCGGTTCCGTTGTTTTAAGCGTATGAGCAGTGTACTTTGTATGGACGGTTCTGTGATTTATTTTATTTCAGCACTGTTGCATTTGCGCTTGTTCTCACACGTTTTCTTGCATGTTTGCTCGGTCTGTGTAACTGCAAACAAATGCAGACTATCAAAAAGATGACCCCAACTCCTTCCATCTTTCCACGGAGTTCGCCATATACCCACAGTTCATGTACCATCTCAGGCGCAGTCATTTCTTGCAAACTTTCAACGCAAGCCCCGACGAAACTGCGTACTACAGGTACTTTCTTACGTCGGCCTCCCGTGTTTGCATTATTTGTTCGCTCGCTGATATTTGCCGCCGAGAACAATAGCGCTGCGCGGGTTGCGATGGACACCTGCTTGCTGGAGTGCAGGCAGAGCTATATAGGGAAGGCTGTCTTAGTAACAGTATATCTGGTTCGACTTGTTACAGCATTTATCAGGTAGATTGTAATGCACGTGTGGTGTGCTGTGGTTTCGTTAGGTCTGTGCTATTGAGAGCAAGCGTTATGAATGCATTGGTGATGATTCAACCGGCGTTGCTTTCGTATTCACTCAACCAGCAAGGCCCCCCCCAGCCTGTGCTGCTGGATGCCCAGGCACTCAAGGTATGAACTTTGCTTATTCCCGGCTTTCTCTCCCACCTATGTTGTTTTTCCCCCTTTTCTGGTTCCTTCCCTTCATTATACCACGCAAATCTTCCGGTTTGACCCACGCAAACGTTCTTTTTTCCGTTTCTCTGTGCACTTTGCTGGTTCGTATCATTTACACGATTTCCTGCTGTAGGAAGGCAGTCATATTTTCAGTTGCACTAAATTGGCTATTCTGTGTTACTCTATTATTGTCGTTTGAAGCATCACCCTTTGGAGTCGACGTATTCAAAGCCCTTAGCGTTTGTGCATTGCCAACGCTTTTTGTCATCAAGACATACTGTTTAGGGTTCGCATGTCGAGGTGTATGACTCTTTATGTGATTCATTTTACCCAGTGAGACTACCGAATTCCCCAGGGCTTTTGCTTTGCGGCTTGGGATTTGTGTTGCAGCCGGATGTTATATTGTTGCTGGACTCATTTTTCCACGTCGTTGTTTGGCACGGCGAGCTAATTCATCAGTGGAGAGAACAAGGGTATCATAACTTGCCAGAATATGAAAATTTAAGGCAGCTGTTGCAGGTACATTCCAAATCCTGAATCCTAGGCCCTCCTGCCTGCTACGCGCAAAGCACAACCGCGTGAAGCGGAAGTCGCCGGAAGTTGTTGTTCCTCTTGCGTCTGTTGATGGCTTGTGGCTTTCTGGGCACCAATTCTAGCCCGTAAGCATGTGCCTTTGTGTATGCAGGCACCTGTGGATGATGCTAGTGTCGTGCTGGGGGACCGTTTCCCCGCGCCAAAGTATGTCCAGTGTAACAGCGGTGGCTCGCAAGCGCGCTTTCTTTTGGCGAAAGTCAACCCGTCAACGTCGTACGTCAATTCGGGAGCAGCGCAGCCCCTCGGCCTTACGGAGGGAGGGGAAGCCTTCATCAACACAGATGATGTTAGTCTTAAAGTCTTCATGGAACACCTTATCAAACTCGCAGTACAGAGCTAAGCCAGCACGGGTGCGGTTTCACCTGCTGCCGCTTCCATTTCCACTGCGACTAGCAGCAGGAGCGTCAGCGTCTGTTGAAGATTGCTGCTAACAGGAGGCGAGGCATTTGGAACCTCATCAACTCTTTTGTTGTTTAGAACGTGAGATAAACAGGAAGCGGTGCTTGTCAAGTGCGTAGTGTTAGTGAATAGCCATTTCAAGAATTTGTAGCACGGTACAGTGACAAACCGGAGAGGCAATATCGGTAAACTTGAGAAGTTAACAACGCTTTTCGTTTAGAACTAGATGTGGGGTGCAACACATGGGGCCGAAGGGGTTGTGCTAGACTGTAGTCCAGGCGGGCACACACAAGACCGATCATGAAATGGCTAGTAAGCACGCCGTGTATTATCTGATCGTTTTGACCGTAGACCTGAACAGTGGTTTTATGTAGTGCTCAGGTTAATTCCCTGGCAACGTTTATAGGATACCTTTCAAAACCAAAATTGCCCTTCTGACCTCATCCTCCCAGACGAGCCCGTCGAGCAGCTCAGGCGTTCCTAGCACATTCCTTTGTTTTCATGGCTAATATTTGGCTTATATTTGTCATTTTAAATCGGCTGATGCACTTCTACAGGTGGAGGATAGTAATTAAGGAAAAATAATACATGTGACCTAGATGGCATCGATGACAGAAATCGAGACATGATGTTCCCCTTAAACATACATAGGATGAAACCCTCCCAAATTTTTTCAATAATCAACGGAATAATGTACTAGATTAGAGAGAAATTTTTGTTCGTCATGGTTCCTTTTTGTGGAGGGTGCCGTCCGATATATCCGGCCGCGTGGGGGTCAATGTACCTAGCACCTTCGGTTCCTGAAGATCCCAAGCAGGATTCCTTCGCATTAACAACAAGAATAGATGAATTCCTGGGCATTAAAACAGTGTATTGAATTAAATGAGCAAGAATGTAACAACACATAGCTGCACGGAGTGGGGTTCGAACCCACGCGATCTTCCGATCAGGGGAACTTAAGTCCACCCCCTTAACCACTCGGGCATCCGTGCTGGCTCCCCTCACTATGCCTTCGTTGCAAAGGGAAACTACTTCCTGTTGACTAGATAGAGCAAAACCTTATTTTCAGCACGTTTCCTTTTAAGGACTTTTTAGCATGTTCCACTATTCCTAAAAGCAATTCAAACACATCCCCTTAAGACAAACGTTAAGTGCCCCTACTCCAGCACGGATGCCCGAGTGGTTAAGGGGGTGGACTTAAGTTCCCCTGATCGGAAGATCGCGTGGGTTCGAACCCCACTCCGTGCAACACTGTTTTCCGTTTAAAAAAACACAGGTTTTCTTTCTCCGGTATTCCCTACACTGGCCAGTTGCTTTCCTCTGATGTTATTCCCCTCTCTAACTCGTCAATCTCGTTAACTCGTTTCCACATGTTCAATGTAACTGCCTCTGCTCACTACTACAATTCTTCCACTTTTAAGTAAAAAATTGGCGAGTTCACAGTCAAAAATAACTGTGAGGGGATTTCGGTTTTGAAGCGAAACGGAAAGCCAGCAGCGGCCTGCATTTATAGAAAGTAGAACAACTTTACTGTTTAAGTTGCATCGTGGTTGAAACTGTTCAACTTGCACAAAAAGACGACCCAGAATACATCAAAGCACACAAAAGACTACCCAGAATACAGCAAAGCACAGCGATTCCTAAAGTCCCTAACGTCCATACGCAGATAAACTCCTCATTCCTCTTCTCCTGCTCTCTTTTCTTTTTGCACATCCCCAAGTGGACGTTCAGCCAACTCCAGCCGACGTGTTACCTCCTCCTGTAAATAAAAGTACAAATACACTGCATGTACAAGTGGAACATTGCTGTACACCCAACTCTGAATAACATGCACACAGAGGTATATACTCCAGCATGCATGCACATACAGGTTGAAGAATGCTATGCAGAGGGCTCTGAAAATGATGCTCGTTAAAACAAGCACCAACTATGAGCAGCGTAGACGGAAAAGCAAAATACAAACAACGGAAAGTATTTCTCACAACGGCCCGTACAGTCTAAACGAACTGGGGCAAAAACTGCGGGTGGCGGCAACAAAACAAGAAATGCAAGGCAACTGCGCTACCGTAGACACTACACAAGCAGAAGCAAAAATTCGGCATTGCCGGTCCCAATGTCATACCTCAATCCGCATGTACATGCTTACGCCCCCATGCATACACATAAACATGCGTAATGTCATGGAAATGTCGCAGGATACACGGAGAAGTGGACAACTGCATATGTACGTACATGCAAAAGTTAAACATGGTCACTTAAATGTCAATTAAGTTGACAACCACCACGAGTTACCCGCACTGCATCTTACTGATGGCCCAATGTTAAGTGCTTGAGGCCTAGTGCGAGGGGTACCTCAAGGAAACTGCAGACACTTTCTGAGCACAAGACGAATTCCCCGCTAAGGATCTCAATCACGAAGCCCCGGCTTTCGTTCAGCTGCAGCAAAATTTCCATGGTTGGCGGGTCGCTGAAACAAAACAGCCAATTGAACAAACCAAAATATTTCCGTCGATATTCCCATGCAAGCGTACTCCGATAAGCGGATTCTTTGTAGGCCTAGTGGAACCCACTCCTTGAAGTTGAAGCCACAAGTGCGCAGGGTATGAGGGGTTGGCGTCTCGCAATCAGGCAAGAAGCATAGGTGTCAAGGAGTATTAAGAAAGCATCAGGCTGAGGAGTTTTAGGTATTCCCTTTCACGAAGCAGATGGGTCCGAATCAAACCCGGTGTGCAGAAGTAGTTGTTTGGATGTGTCAACCCCGTACTAACTCGGAGGACCCACGTTAAAGTGGCACTCACCACTGCACGACAATTCCTTTGATCGCGACGACCATCTTGAGTCGTTCCTTGGCAAGCAGGAGAGTTTGCTTCTTGTGGCAAACTGAAGAAAAGATCGAAGAGTTAATGCGTTAGACAAAAGTACGCCTGCCAGACACCAGCAGCGGCAGGGTTTGAGTTGGCCGCCAACACCAGGCCGGAGCTGAAGCTACAGAACCCAGCGGGAATAAGTCACTTTAGAGAATGTATCTTCATAATCCGTTCAAATGAATTGAGAAGGATTTGTTGAACCCGATGATCCTATACAGCCGTTTTGCATGCGGGGTCATCGAGCTGCAATGAAGACTTTTGTTGCTCCCCCTTCGCTATATGCAAATAAGAAGGTGTTTTTCAAACACATTCAAATAAATGGGGTGAGAACAAGAGGATTAAGCGAATAAGGGTCTTCGAATAGTCGCTTCCTTCCGCCCACTTGCCATCCCAGCCCTGCAGCAGATGAACGCACTGACACTCCCATATTTCGCACTTAGGTAGACTGTGTTGGAATTTTGGCATTTCTGCCTATCCGGAAATCTAATGAGCATCTTATTACATTTTTGATTCCCGTTCGATCGTTGACCCTCACGTGTATATCATCTTCATCGATGCCCATTCCGAGATACGGTGCGCGCTGTAGTGAATAAGGCCACGAGAAAGGCGTTGTATGATGTTATTGAATTTGCTTCGTAGTGCTTTCTGAATTTTGTATTAGTTTCGATTCATGTGGAGGCTAAGGATTATACACATGCAGTGAGCGCTAGTGGCAGTTGTATGTTTGGCCAATCCCCTATGCTACTGCATGCTCTCAAGGAGCGCTAGATCAGATAAAGGAACTGTCGTGAGTTGCAATGGAGCAAAGTACTTGAGGTTAGAGGTCGTAAAGGCATGCTCGTACGAGTCTCCTGACCTCCTGGGCACAACGGCCCAAAGAAATGAGTTGCAGCGACCACAGACGTTGCTGTGTACGTTCGTGGAACTAGTTCTGCAGGTTCAGTCCACTGGCAAGCAAATCCAAACCCATTTTATCTGCATGCACTAGCATGTGACAGTGGTAGACACCGAATAATCGGCGCGTAATCAGTCATACTCGAGCCACCTCCGCGCAGGTCATGCTACAGTTCCTGTGCGTCTTGTATCTGCTTTGGCTTCCGCTTCTCATGCATACATAATTCGAATTGCTTTCGACTTCAAATTTATTGGCTAGACAACTGCCGGAATAGGCGATAGAGGATTACTGCTACTGGACTGGAAAACGGCAGAAGTGCTAAGCGGCAGCTGCCTTGATGTAGGTTGCCCGTGTTGAGCAGGAGCAAACAACTCATCAGTTAACAGCATTTCAGCTGTCTTCATAGTCCCCAATGCCTCCCTCACCGATAGCAAAGACAGCTTCACCTTCAGGGAGGCTGGGGCTATCATAGATTTTGCAAATGCGGCTTTCCCCCTTTCCTTTGCGCAGATAGAGCCTCGTCTGGCTTGCATGCGCCATTATATTACCCCCTATTGGAAGTTTCTCGTTGCTGTTAAAGAGGGAAGGGCCGTTGTCCACCTTGGCGACAACCTGGTTGCTTACAACAACCGCTACTCCGTAAGTATCTGCAATGCGCTGCAAGCAACGCAAGAAACGGCATAGATGCATTTGCCTGCTCGCCAGCTCCCCTCGTCCGGCGAACTCGGAGCGGTATAGACCTGTGGCACTGTCAACAATCAACAACGCAAAGCGAGACTCCGCCATCATCGCTCCTGCTTGTGTCAACAACTCCAGCTGGTGATCTGCAGCACACGTCCAACGACAAAGACGATACATGCAAAAGAGTGAATAGGGTGGAAGCATTTAGCACCCATGCTATTGCCGCTTCGTCCCCAAACAAAATGCAGCTCCGCGTCCATGCAAAACCAAACGAGCGGCCTCATGAGCGCCCAAACAAATCCAAGACAAGGAAAACACCCACTGGAGCTACCGAACTAACGAGAGGGAAGGGAAACGTGATCACGAAAGGATCAAGCAAGAAAGTGTAGGTGAAGAAATCAACACACAACCGACCAATCCCACACATGCATGGACCCGCATAGTTGCTGCTCGCTTCAGTTTTACCCAAGCTACACCGTAAAGTAAGACAAAGTCTGTATATCGACTTTAGGGTGTTTGCATATTACAGAAACCGTAGCAGCATGGACTTCACTAGTCGTTGTATTACCATATTCTTAACCATGCTGCAGTGATTTCAAAGCGCAAAAGATAAGCACGTTCCTTTTTCCACATCGGCAGGCTGCCCATCTTTTGCAGATTACAATTACTGCAGCTTAGTTAAACAACAAACATGCCGTTATGAAGGAACGTGTGTAGTTTGAAGCTGGTGAAGCAATTAGCAAGCACAGCACGGTTACTCCTTTGAGTCTACTCACCACAGTTGTAGGCTCTGGCGTAGGCTATGTTGTCCAGACAGTCGCCCGGATCTAAGCCGAATCTCTTAGCGATTGAGACGATGCGTTCGGGTCTGAAAGTGCCTTCTGTGTCAATCCACAAACACTTTCCTTCACCCCCGCTTTGCTCAACTGGCAACTGACAGGACACCTGCACGCATGAACTGCGGTCCCCGAACACAATAGTGTATGCACAGCCCCAAATCCGCCAACATCGATAGGCAGAAAGCACGCTGTATGCTGTATGTGCATCTCCAGTTGAAAGGGCAAACATGGACGAAGGGAAGCATATCTGCTTCATGCAGTGTACAGATTAGCCACCATCGGGCATATGAACACAATGTCACCACTGCAAACACCGCTAAATCAGGTAACAACGACAAGTGATGAGGATGCCGGGTACAAGGCCTTGTAGAAGCCCAGAGTGGGTCAGTGCATTCCGTCCATCGTTGCCAGTACTTTCAGGTACGAAGGTGCAACTTTACAATCTAGCAAATATATTTAAGCACAAGCCCATCGGTACCCGTCTATGCAAAAAATTATGTAAGTACATGCGTACAGCTGCACAAAGGTGAATAGACGTCACAGTACATGTGTGTACATAATACACATACGTGTGCACATTCTCTCAGTATAGCCGTGAAGATAACACGCAACACTGCACGTACTTGCACGGTCACGCAAGCCTTTGTGTGTGTATTGGTGTGTTTTTATATCTACATTGGAGGGCGTGCAAATGATTCCTTACCGCAAGCGTATGGCATAGTTGGGTTTTGCCAGTTCTAAATTCTCCGAAGAGTTCTGTCAAATTGCCTGTCTCGATGCCCCCCTTAAGGAGCGCATCGAGCTGTACACTTCCTGTTGTAAATTTAATTAGGTTTGCTCGTGCCTCAAGGTATTCTTGCGCCGAGCAGAAACCCAAGCTGCACAACTCTTTGCTGGCTTGCTTCAGCTTGGCTGCCTTCTGTTCGCTAATCCCTTTTATCGCCAGCAGCGTCTTCAGTGGAGCGAAGGCCACGCATTCTACGGTGTGCAAACCCCCTAAAAAAAGAAGCAACAGACATTTCCCGCTACTGCCTGGCATTCCACAGCAATCCTGCATATGGGTATTTGGGCTAGTGCAGGCAAATGAAGTCATGGGCATGTTGGTCATTACATGCAAATAATAAAAGTAAGAAAATTGTGAATGCGAGCTAGATCCATGCAGACGCAGATGCAAATCAGCAGCAAATCGTGGCCAGTTGCCCTTCCTGCGAAAGCTAGCTAGGGTCTAAGGTTGTCGATGCAGCATTTGCCGAAATTTTCTGCAGCTGTTAAGGCCTTTGTTCAAGGCTATCCTAGCGTTTGCTGTTATTCCTCTCTAATGTTTCTTGCGAGGGTTTACCTTCTTTTAGCAAGTCCAAGTCCTTCCTAGTCAGCCCCTTGGCTAGCAAGTGTTCGAGCTTGAGAGGCCCTGTCTGAAGGTCTTCCCCCTGCGATCAACATGTGCGAAGAGTAAGAAGCGTTTATGGTTTAAACTGTGCGTTCTTGAACTGTGCAAGCACCTGGGCCGATACAGCTGAAAAGAGGATGGACGAACAGCTTTTACATGCAATGTGCTTCACGGGAAGGGCCTTCCGCTGCTCCTACCACATCTTGAAGTTGTTGTTCTGGGGCTTGCCGGGTCTCCTGCACTGTAGAGCTCATTGGTCGAAAATCTAAGCCGTGAGCCGTCGGCCACAAATAGAAGCAGAGACTTGGTAACCCGCCTCCCCTACGGTGCCGGCGCAAAGAAGACTGAAGTAGGTAAAGCCAAAATTACAATGAACGTACGCATTCGTACACCGTAGTGAAGGGCAGTTTCCGGGGGGAAGGGAGTGCTTCTACTGTTATCACGATGTTGTCTTGGACTGTCAAGTGTTAGAAAGAGTCTAGGGCTGATGCTCTACACTTAGCCCAGGCTGAGTACTCATCACAGTCATCACCCGCTGAGATATTTGTGCTGGAAACAATTAGGATGGAGCGGTTGTTCAAAGAAGATGTAGTCGGTCCTCTCGGGGCTGCAGGGGTTATTTGGTGGTACCCAGCTGCGAGTAGCACACCCCCTCATGCCACAATCCGAGACAACAATAGGGCACACTTTTAATGTAGAAGTTTCACTATTCGTGGAAAAAGTCGAGGAAATGATTCTGACGGGACACGTCAGTGCTGTCTGCAGAAATCAGACCCCCCAGCCCAAACAACAGCAACCCCAAAGAAGAGGCTTGTTTGAGGGGGAGCTTTAGGTTCCAATATAATTCTCCTTTAGTAAGTAATAATCGATTCAGAATGTTTATATGAAAAGAAGCATGCTATTTAACCGTGCTTTATCCGGTTCCGTCTACTTCTTCCTCTACAGTATACTGACACACAAATGACCTGCAAAGCTTTATTTACGATGGGCATTTGCTGCTCGCTGCTCGGCGTTAACTCTTACGCATAAGGAGAATCCAATAAAGAAATTAATGAAAAAAATTAGTTGGCAACGTTTTACTACGAATGGGAAAGTGTAATGCGCAATGCAACCTCTGTAAATTTTGTGTACCCGTTTTTGCGTGTTTTTTGTGGCGCTGTTCGTCCTATTAGTGCATGTATTTCCGGCCGTGTTCATGCCGGTTATTAGGGTCCAAATAATTATTTGGCAATTATCTGCAGCGTTACCACATTGAAAAGTAACTTGAATATGCTGGCTTGCAGCAGGAGTTGCGTAATGATCATCCTGAGTCTAGTCGGAGAAGTATTTTGACCTAAAATGGAGCGAAACTATTCAATATTACCGTTTATTGAATGTAACTGACCTCCTCCCCAAATTTCTTGGCATTCTAATTTGCCTGGAACAGCAGAAAAGTGGCGACCAGCCAGTGCACTGTGCTTAAGCTGAAGACACCAAGAAAGCTTCCAACCAGGCACAAACCAGGATACTTGCCCGTACGTACAAACACTGTAGACAGTGGTTAAGCTTTTCTTGCTTAACGTGTATTTAGTAAGACCCAGTAAGGCCTAATGCCCCCACTCCTGACTTCGTGGTCATCTGAAGTCCACGCGACAAATTAGACAAAGAGATAGAATGTATTGCATTACAATTACACAGCAGCTGCCACAAACAGGTTGCTTACTGCTTTCCGGAAGATAGAACTCATTGTAGATGCGCATGTGAGCACGCCAATTTGTCACATCCACACCATGCCTGGAATTGTACCGACATGAAGTGACCAGTGAGCAAAATGTCCCAAACCATCGTGGTACGACCTATTTCGGGATTAATATTTCATCGCACACCCAGTTTCGCCGAAACTCGCGTTCTGTCTGCCATCCGCGAAATGCAACAGCAGAGGTGGTGCCAATGAACAGACAAGTATGCTGCACCGCCGCGATGTAGCTTGTGGCAGCAGTTCCACGTCGCAGTGGATGTCGGGCAGGGCTAGCAAACCTGGTATATTTTGAAGTGCCCCTCTGCAAGGCTAAAACCGTCTAACAAGTGTCAGTCCCCTTGTAACCGAAAGAATTGAAGAAGAAAATATACTACCCGTAGCTGACCTCCCCATGCTTCGGCAATGCAGTCAGTCCAAATGCCTTGATATGCTGCTTGGCACTCAGAGACAGCTTGCCCTATACCTTGCCTAAGTGGTCTGGTGTATAACTAAGGTTACATTATATTGTGTTCTTTTCACGGGACAGGCCGCTAGATGCTCAGCGTAAGCCATCCCCCTGTGTAATGAGCCAAGGCAGCACACATTCGGCTTGACGATCCCCCAAGCTCCGTCTCCCAAATGAAAAAGGAATCATCACCCGGAAGGACCATTAAACCCAAAAGTGTCGCATGAAGAAATAAATAGCAGCAGGTAACAGCAAAGCACTGAACAAACTCGGCCGGCCCGGTTTTCTCGCTCTCCACCCCGCGGAGCGGGGCCAGCCTCTCGACCACTAGATCGCGAAAAATCAACTTGAGTATGTGGCTCAGTTCGAAGAGAAACGCAGTTGATAAGACCAAATACTCGAAAACGGGGAAAGGCTGTGTGTGTTTGGTGGGCGGGGTAGGGGGGGGGGGAAAATGGCTGAAAAGGGATGATTGAAGTACGGTGGCACTTCAGCAAAGTGCCAAGCCACCAGGCATTGTGGTAGGGTCAAGTACGCAAAAAGCGCAGCCATAACCATACGCAAGTGATGGTCACACACATGGCCAAACAGAGGTGGTTTGCTATTCGTCTGCAGGCAATGCTACCCACAAAAAGTAAACTCCCGGCGACACACTGCATGCGACACACCCCATCCCCCTTAGCGAAACCGCAGGCACCGTCGAGTGCATGGCAGCTCGCAACGACCAAAAGACAAGAAGAAACTTATTACTGGTACTCGTACCAACTCCTCACAGAGCGTGCTTCTCTTGCAACCGCTTATGTATCCGCAAGTGTGCGGGACGGGCCCGCTTGCAGCATACGCTTTAGAACAGCAGTTTCAACAAACAAACATGAAGGGGCCTACTTATGACTCTATATTTCACGATAAGGGCATCAAAATAAGAAACTTCGACTTCTGCCAAATAACTACCAAGGCCAGCGAAACAATCACTGCAACTCCTTGCCTCTCAGGCACGCGATAAGTTCACAGCTAGGCAATTTCCCTTAAAAGCACAATGCTATGAATTTTGATTCCCCTTCTGCAAAAAACAGAAGACAACAATGTTGTTTTGTTGAACATTACTTCTTGGGTAAGCACAGCCGAGCCGCAGCCAGCCCCTGCGGCTGCAGCCCAAGGATGCGTGCTGGAGGGCGATGTCTAGGAGAGGGTTTATGTTTGATTAGTTCAGAACTTGCCTTTATATTACAATTATATTCTATGTTAACGAATACAAGCGCCTGCCTACACCTGAAACTCAAGAACGCAGTCAGCTAACTCCACTGCGGCCCCCAGCTGTAGTACCGGTCGTCTGCTCGGTGTCGCCATCTCATCAGCCACTGGAAGCTCCACGCAGAGTTCATCTCACCATTTAAACGTTTGTTTAATAATCATTATTACGATCTTTACAACGTTTCAATAGCGCTTGCGTCTCTCTTCGGCGTGAGCCTGCCGAGTACTCTACTTGAGCCCCTAACATTACTGAGCCCCCAACCCACCTACCTCAACCCTCAGACGCATTTAACCCTGAAATGCCAAAGGACTGCTGCTCCAAGGAGGAGGAGGCGCGGCAGCAGCCGAAGTCAAGGGGAGAGGAAACCCCTGCAACTGCGAGTTCCGCTTCTGTACCAGACAATGCAGAGCGAAACAGCAAACCAGAAGCAGCAGAAGCTGCAGCAGCAGTAGCAGAGACGGCGGCCAAAGGGCAACAGATAAAGGCTAACTCTATGGCTTCCGCGGCTTCCTTGGTGCAGGCAATAAGGGGTGAGAAACAAACAGAAACTGCTTGATATAGCATGCGTGTGGCGTTGGTCGTTGCATGTTTGATGCTTCAGTCTTTTAAGTGTCAGGTTGGCATTTGTATGAGAACGGAAAAGCAAATACCCTAGGTAGAAAGATGGAGGAGATAACGGCATAGATGTAGAAGTCCGTTTTTCTCTGTTTTTTGTGCGTGTCTATCGAGTCAGGTTTGTCTCTTTCGCGTTCTCCGCTGAACAGCCCCCATTTGTTCTGGGACACGCAGCCCGTTGTCAAGGCATCAGAGCAGAAGTCACTCACTACACAGGTGACACGGCTGCTCCCGCTGTTGCTACTGCAGTTCGTTCTTTGTTACGTGGAATTGTCTCTTGTATGCTGCTGCGGCTTTTCTGCTTCTCCTGCCTACCACTATCGCCATTCTTCTGTTTTCGTTTTGTATTTCTATATGGGCCCGCGTAGGGTCAGCCTCTTGTCTTCTTTCAATTCCTCCTCCTGTCCTTTCGCCCTCGATACCTTTAGGAGCAGCAGAGGCGAATTTATGCTCATGTGTGTCTCAGGATGAAGGCCCAATCGATGCAACGAAGACGGTGGAAGATGTCAAGAAGGTGATTTCTTCTATTTTGTTTGCGTTTCGGTTTTATGTTCGCCTACATCTGCACTTGATTGTTGTTTGTTTTCCGCTGTTAGCATGCATCCTTCTTTGCTCGTTGTTCGCCGTTTGCCGTGTACAATGAGCTCTATTTGTGTTTTTTATTTTTGGTATTGATATACATACATATGTTTGTTTGTTTATTTCGCGTGTCTATAAATCTGTCCCTTTCTGGTTACCTTTGAATTTGGTTGTCTCCCTCGATCTCCCCTGTGCTCGCTGCTGTAATTGTTCATTTCCTGTATTCGTTCTGAGTACCAGCAAGTCATTTACCGCTCACAGTAGTCGCCGCAGTGTATGCTATCGATTCTGTTGTTGCTGCTTCTGCAGGAACCGTACAATTTGCCTAATGGATTTGTTTGGTCCGAATGCTCTGTGGAGGACCCGCAAGTGCTGGATGAGGTGGGTGCAACACCAGGAGTTAGGATTTTTAGTCGTTTGGCGAAGGATAGCGACGTTGCATTGCTATCAGTTAGGCATTTGGTGTCGAAGCTAAGAAGAGAAGCCTGAAACTAGGGATTAGGGTCTAGAAACTTTGTGAAAATACGTGTGCATGGGTTAAGGGTCTAGAGTCTGGGGTTCGGCGCAAGGCCGTTGATGGACTGTACATATGATGATTGGCTGCTGTTTTAGGTTGTAGACTTTGTGGGGTCTGTGGCTCTTGTTCATTTTTAGCTGTACAACTTGCTCGCGCTTCACTACGTAGAAGACGACGACAATTTGTTTCGTTTTAACTACGGAAAGGACTTTTTGGTTTGGGCTCTGAATCCTCCGAATTTCTTCAAAGAATGGATTATTGGGGTTCGCGTTGAGGCATCTCAAAAGGTGAGATGTTGCTGCTTTGCATGCGTTTATTTGTTTCCGTATTTGTGTTTAACGTTTTTCTATACACTTCCATTCTCTATGGAATTAATGCACCTGAATGCACCGAGGAAGTAGGAGACGATGCAGATAGCCAAGAAATCAAAGTAAAAATTAAGATATCTGTGTGTGTGATGAGATGCACCTGCCCTTCTTTCGTTTTTACCTCCCGCTTTTTTGTTTATGAGTGACGTCACCCCTCCATGCTGTGCTGATGTGCTGTGCAGCTCGTAGGATTCATCTCCGCCATCCCCACAACTCTCATGTGCAACTCTAAAAGAATCAGAGTTGCAGAAGTCAATTTTCTCTGCGTACACAAGAAACTTCGAAGCAAGCGTCTCGCTCCGGTGGGGAGACAGATGATCTGCAGCGCAATCCTATCTCTCTTGTCTTGTTGCTACATTTTCTTCATACTGTTGAGTGGAGCCTACCCAGTGCTGAGGGTCTGGGCGAATCCTGTTGACATTTCCAGTTTGCCTGTTTTTCATTTCCTTCCATATGATGTAATATGCTTGTAGCATTGGCTTTTTCCTTAAAGTGATTCCTGAGGTGTAAGCTGAGCAGCGTAGGGCTTCAAGATTCGTGCGATGTGCATTCCCAGGTGTTAATAAAAGAAATTACACGGCGGGTGAATTTAAAGGGCATTTGGCAGGCGGTCTACACAGCAGGTAGCTTGCTAGTTTCTGGGTCTTTGTTTGTATTTGCCCCTAATTTGCATGCCTGCGTTGTTGCTGCTGCCTTGCATGTTCATATGCTCTCCCACTATGGACTTTGTGTTTTCTGTTCATTTCCTCTGCTTTGACCCCCTTATCCCTCCTCCCCTAGCGCTGGTTGGCATGCCCGTACTGTTGGACGCTGTTGGGCATATTTAGTTAGTTGGGTTTAGGGTTTATCGCTCGTCTACTTCCACTTCGGCTGTTCCCACAGCTGCCGTCAAATGCAATGGTTTAAGGTTTGGGGTTTGCTGGCTGCAGGCGTTGTACTTCCAACCCCAGTAGCGGAGTGTCGGTATTGGCACCGTTCTTTGAATCCCAAGAAGTTAGTTGAAGTCGGTTTTAGCGGTCTAGGACAAAGAATGACCATTAGCCGCAGCATTAAGCTCTACAAGGCAAGCTGATGCCCTCTCTACAAACCCTAAGCCATAAAGCACAAAAGTTAGATCCTACGGCCTCACTGTAGGCTGGAGCACAAAGGCCTTCTGTCTTGCTTACATCTCAGCACAGAACCCCGGGCTGCTAGTTGCTAGAGCGGTTGTTTGCTCTGCAGAAACGACCTAAGAGTCACACTTCAGTGTTGTTCAACAGTTAGGCTATCAGGCATTAGGCATTTCATCGTAGGAGCATTACAACCTAAATGGGTGCAACTTGGGCGTATCTGCAGGTGAGAGAACAACCTGCTACCCCTGGTCTCAGGCCGATGAGGCAGTCGGATGTTCGCCAGGTTCGCAAACTACTGATGAACTATCTCCAGTAGGTATTTGGACGTTTTAAATTCCTTTACATTCTCAGTTTCTTGCTCTTTTCTTGCTGTTAATCTCTCGTCCCTAGCTGTTCGTATGCTCTGTCGTGTTGATCAACACATAACTATGTATATATCTTAGCTTTACTACGGCAACGAAATCCTAATTTTATTATTATATGAAGTGTATGCTTTAAATTGATTCCCCTTTCCCGAACATATTCTTATTGCTCTGTTTAAAGAATAAGTCGTCTTGACTTTCTCTGTGCTTCCTTCAGACAGTTTAAGCTGTACCCAGATTTCACAATAGAAGAAGTGCAGCACTGGCTAATGCCAAAGGACGGAGTTGTACATGTGTACGTTCGAGAACAGGAAGGTACGATAGCTGCTGCTCGTTAGGGTTTTGCGTATCATTGCGCTCGTGCTGTGCTGGTCTCGTATATGCCTTTCATTGTTCCATAGTTTGTTCTTGTGCGTCTTCGATCGAACGCCTTTGACTGCGGTTTGTTGTCTACTTTCTGTTTATATTGCTGGAAACTTGTGTCTGTGTACCGAAATATTATACACACACTTTCTTGGGCTTATCTGTCTGTCAGCGCAGTGTTTTGAAACTGTGGCTATATATTACATTACCCAGCTAGCTTGTTTGTTTCCGCCGTTGTCTGTTTATCCTTCTTCAGGAAAAGTAACAGATTTAATTTCATTTTATGAACTGCCATCTTCTGTCATCGGAAACCAAAAGCACAAAGAAGTCAAAGTGCGTTCCTCAGAGTTATGCCCTAATATAAATAAGGGAAAAATACGTAAAGCTGCGAGCTCAGTAAATACAAATGAGACGATTCACAGCAACGATGTGCCTTAACAGAAACATTAGAAAGGGCAAAGCTCACAGAGAAGGAAATATAAGTTGTATTGCTCGTCTATTCTCCTCTTCTGCAGGCGGCTTACTCCTTTTACAACGTGGCGACGTCCGTTCCTTTGAAGGAACTAATTCAAGATGCTCTTTGCCTTGCCAAGCAAAAGTACGCACAAACAACAAAACAAAGAGAAAACGACAAAAGCAAAGGGATAGGCTTCTTAACCGTTCTGCTGTTTTGTTGATGCAATATTGCATGAAGTACATCATTATTTTGTGTATTCTTCTGTCGATTACTTTATCTTTTTGTATATTTTTTTTTGTACTTTTTGGTGGTTTTGCCTCGCAGAGACTTCGACGTGTTCAACGCTCTGGATGTAATGGAAAACAAAACTTTCGTGGAGGTAAGGCGACATAGGTGCAAGTTAAAAATGTCTAAAAATTAAACAGTAATTACTGGTTTATGCAGTTAAACATGAGGAGACCATGAAGTGTAGTCAACCAGAGAAAAGGAAAACAAACACGCCGTTGAACACAATAATTCAAGAGGCAGTTGCCCATAAAAAATGCCTTTTAGACGTTTAGTACATAATATACAACAATAACAATACTTTCGATAGATTGAAGTACTGTTTCTTCTTCTTGATTACCTAGAGATCGAACATGCTGCTTCTCTCTTCATAATGAGGGTATCTTAAATATCCTTTTTTTTATTTTCTTTTCTTCTCAGGAACTCAAATTTGGTGTTGGTGATGGCTTTTTACGATACTACCTCTACAACTGGCGGTGCCCTCAGGTATGCAACGAGACGCTTTGCTTGCTGCTGCTTTTATTGTTTCTTTACTGTTAATGATGACCATTATATTTATAATTATAAAATAATGTTACTATTATTATTAGTATACTCCTAGGTGTGTAATTAATGTATATTTTATCAATACTTACGTGGAGATGCAGCAGATGTAGGAAGGTGTATGTACTGTAATAACTTTTTGCATGTATTGTATATATATATATATATATATATA